ACACACACACACACACACACGCACGTATACCGAGAGAGGATTTCGGGACCGGGCGATCCTCTCCTCCCGATGTGTTCTCTCGTTGGATACACGCACGCACGTTCGCACGCACACGACTCGCGGCCGGGCGGTAGGTTTCAGTCAGGACGATGAGAAGAACGGCGGCGGCGACCACGACGATGGTCCCATGCTAAAGCATCTCGCCGTAGATACGAGACGGGGAGCTATTTATTTCCGTGCTATATGGGCACGCTTAGCTCGGCTTAGCTTATGCTAATGTCCCCATTCTCGGCGAACCATCTCCACCTCCTCCCTTTTGCCCCGCTCGACTTTTTCTACTCTTTCTGCGCCCGGACGCGATCGCCGGACTTTCGGTTCTTTTCTTCTTCGCGTATCTTTGCTGTATGGGTGAACCTTTCTTCCCTCTTCTCTTTTACGATCTAACATTTAACGCTTAAACGTGCGGCTCAGCTTATGTGCAATCTTTTTAAATGGAATTATATTTTTATGATCATGACTTGAATGTGATGGATAAATCAGAAAAGTGTTTTTTAAACTAACTTGCGGTCCAAATTATTAAAAAGGAATAAATGCCAAAAATGTAAAATATGAAGCTTTTATTGATTTTTTTATTTATAAAATCATAAACGAACTTGTGTATAATATCAACCAACTAGAAATTATTTAATATTAAGATTTGATTAATTGTTTATTATATTCGAAATTTTATTTTTATTTACATTTAAGAGACAATCCATATTATTAATGATTTATTATTTAAAAGGGAAAAGATTTTAAAAAGTAAGATATTTGAGGAAGTTTTAAATATTTATTTTTATTTATCGATATCATAAAGTAAGCAAAATTAAATACTGGCTAATAAGTTTCCGATAATACGTTACATTATGTTTCCATGTGATAATATTGATGGCGGACTTGAGGTAAGCTTATTACTCACTATGGTTAAAGAGTTAAAAGGCCGCTATTGTGAAGGTTAAAAAGTGAAGGGCCAGGACACATCGTTTCGTCCAATTTAACATAATGGAAGGCAAAAGCGTGGAAACGGTTTGTAATTCGCGGTCGTGAATGAATTCGTTTGAAATAAAAAGCAGAATGGATGTTCGCACATACCGCGGCACGATATTACGCTAATCGGGGTGTGTCACTATAGCGAAACGCAGAAGTAACGAATGCGAAATGTATTATTAATTGTATCGCGTACCGGTATGCTGCTGTAAGATTGCATTACGAGATAATGAACGCCGCTCAAACTTTTGCTCCGTTCGCTTCATATAAATAGAAGCATTTGATAATTAACGTTTGATAGTTAACGGGATCGTGAGAAATATCTAGCGTCATGATAATAATTAACTTAACCGGTTTGATATGCAAATTATTATTGCCAGAAAACGTACGTCATAACATCTTGTGCCGAGAGTTTAAATTGTCTCGTTGTTTTAATAATTGAAATGTTAATAATTGAAATGTTTTTGTTGCACACAAAAATTTGTCTTGCGAAAACGTAACGATGTGAATCTTTAATAATTACAATATTTTAATAATTATATAAATATAATTATCCCCCTCATTCGCAGTATATCTAACACAATCGTAGTTGAGACGAAAAAAACATCTTTGCTATTCCAATATCCATCGCGTTTAAATACATATGTTTAACATTGCTTCGAAAAGATTCCGTGGTGTGTTACATGTCGCATATAATTGACGTGAAATTAGCGTGTTCGGCGGCGCGAACGCGAATAAATTTCTTTCTGCCTCCTTTCTCTCTCTTTCTTCCATAGGGAACTCCTCTGCGTCCGCGAGATCGAGGGTTGCGACTTTTTTTCGTACATCCCCTGGTCGTCGGACCACGTATCTAATTGTTCGGATAAAACGGCGGAACGAGGGCACGATACATAAAGTACATTTAGCCCGCTAAGATCGGCCGCCTCTCAGCTTTCTCCGATGTTGTGCATGCACGAGATATTACATACCCGGTGGTCCAAAACGTTCGAGCGCGCCACCGCTTAAATAATCGTCGCCCAAGATCTTACATTCCCGACATCGATCCATCGGCCGTAATTATATGGGAAAAGGAGTGCGCTCGCGCCACGATAGCTCTCTCTCTCTCTCTCTCATCTCTCTCTCTCTCTCTCTCTCTCTCTCTCTCTCTCTCTCTCTCTCTCTCTCTCTCTCTCTCTCTCTCTCTCTCTCTCTCTCTCTCTCTCTCTCTCTCTCTCTCTCTCTCTCTTTCTCTCTTAGCTAGAGAGACCTTTTGTAAGAATAACCAATGCTGCCTTACTTATCCTGCAGTCAACAATATTTCCCGAATCTCACTATTACTTTCAAGACGGCTATTTTGCGTCACGTTACAAAATTGGGTGTGAAGAAAGATGGATGCTGATGATTTTCCGATTCAGAAATTAATTGATTTCTGTGTACAAAATATCTTTGTATAAAATATACAAATTTCCACTGATTTTATACAAGTTTATATATTATCTTCTACAAGACAAAAAGGTGAAAACTTACAAATTATTTCACTTGTCATAAAGTATTTGAAGTGTGAGTTTTTATTATCCTCTTGTCTTCCTAACGCCCTTAAGGAAGTCTTGGCATGACGAAAAAGTTTTGAGATATGTCCATCGAGTCGTTATCAGTCGCGCTTTACTCGAGATTAGAATGATCCGAAATCCAAACTCTGCTACCTCGGATAAGATCGGCCGCATTATCTCGGCGCGCGCCGCGCCGAGCCACCCCGTAGAGACGGGCATGTAAATGCGCGCGGCGTGGATATATTTATGCGAGAGAGGGTATTACCGGAGTCCCCCTCCCCCCGCGCGCGCGAGCGAGTGTGCGGTACCTACGTGTATCTTGATGGGAAACACTCCCACGATTATGTGGCATGCAATGCAATTCCCTCTGCCTCGTCTTGCCCAACAGCCAGCAACCATCGCGCGCGAGCGAGCCTGACGAGCGGACGGGCGTGTTGCTGGTACGCCGTTGCGTTTCTGCGCGCGCGGATGCCACCGGTATTTAACGATCTAATTAAGAACGTAAGTCCAACAAGGGACAGCCGACATCGGCCCCGTGAAAGGAAGGAAGAGAAAGAGAGAGAGAGAGAGAGAGAGAGAGAGAGAGAGAGAGAGAGAGAGAGAGAGAGAGAGAGAGAGAGAGAGAGAGAGAGAGAGAGAGAG